AACTGACTGCTAGAATAGCTTACCAAGGGTTGTGGTGGATTCTCCATCGTTGGCAATTTTAAAATCAAGATTGGGTGTTATTCCTAAAAGATGCTCTCATTCAAACAGGAATTAATTTAGGGAAGTCTTATGGCCTGAGTTATGCAGGAGGTTATAATCTATTAATGTGTGGTCCTAGTCTTCATTTAACAAACCCTGCACTTAATACAAAATTATCAATTTCCTCATGTGCATTTCTGTGGTGCTCTCCATAACATCTGTGAACTTCAGAAACATTAATGTCTTCATAACACCCCTATGAGGTAAAGGCCAAAATTGCCAAGTGTCTATTATTTTTGGGTGCCCAGCTTGAAACCCTAGGGCTTTCAGAGTATTCACCATTTTTATTACACTTTATATATTCAGAGCATAGCTCCAGTTGACTCTAGTTGCAGTTGTGAATGCTTAGCAAATCTGGTGGCAGGAGTTTTGTTTTGGGCATTCAGAAAATGAGGAACCCACAATTAGAAGACAGCTGTGAATATTTTGACTTGCATGACTTGTCCAGCATCACACAGGAACTCTGTGGCAGAGGCAGGGATAGAATTCACTTCTCTAGAGTGGCTTTTTAGCATCCTTAACCATTAGAATATCCTTTCTCTTCCTACAGTCCCCTGCCACATTCACTGAGCACCTTCCAACTTCTGCAACAAATGAAGCATGTGCCCTACAGGCAACAGCCTAATTCACTATGCAACCCTGATTCATTCCCAGAGCACTGTCCGTCCAATCTGTGCACTGAATGAGATGGGGTCCTGTGGTAAAAGTGTAGTGTGTGATCATGTAATTAAAAACTCTCATAATGCATAAACACACAAAGGAGCTGAATTGTGCAACCTTGATTTGAGCATTTCCTAGTTTTTTGAGTGCTTGACTGCAACCTTTACATTTTTCTAAGGTGGCTCTTATGTGACTTCCAATTTTTTTTTAAATTTGGTTCCACATGATACAAATTAAATACACACATACCCTCAAATTAGGTCAGTAATAGGGTTTGGACCTTTATATCCACAGCACAGTCCTCTACCACTTGAGCTAATGGAGTAACTGGTAGTGGTAGTATGCTGTTATCTTTGCTGATAGCAAAGGAATGCAGAGACTGAAAACTCCTAGGTTAAATCCAGGTTTTTGTAGGGGAGTGTTACCTAGTGGTTATAGATCCTTCTGTCTATCCCCCCTTCTCCTCTTTACCCCTCCCTCTCTTCTATCCAATCCACTTGGCTCTTGCCCCCACCACACACCCCTGCCACCTTTCTGCCTTCTGATTTGCGCAACACCCCTCCTTATTCCTCACCCCTCTGCATTTTTGGTAGGCAACTTCTTCCTTCATGCTGCCTGGGTGCCAGCATAGGGGCCATTGAGAACACAGGCAAGACAGGCTTCCTGCTCTCAGTTCTCTTGGCTGCTGAGAGGAGCAATTTCAAGGAAAGACCTGGCTGGAGCATGCTCAGTGAAGATGAAATCTTAAGAGTGTGGCAGTTAAATTCTCTGAACAAGTCTATATTGACCATGTGCTGACGGAGATTTTGTAGAGCATGGCCATGCTTGGGTGAATTTTTACTGGGACTGCAAAAAGCACATCTCTAACCTCCTTGCCCTCCCACCCCGGTCAAACTTCACACCCTTTGGCCTTGGCTACACTTGGGGATTCACAGCGCTGTCATGCGCGAATGTAGTCGCGCCACCAGCACGGTGAGAGCTCTCTTGCAGCGCTGTAAGTCCTCCACCTCTCTGAGGGGAATAGCTTGCAGCGCTGCAGGCGCTGATTACACTGGCACTGTACAGCGCTGCGCTCGTGGAGGGTGGGGGGCGTTTTCACACCCCTGAGCGCAGTAAGTTGCAGCGCTGTACAGCGCCAGTGTAGCCAAGGCCTTTCTTCAAAGTATGGAGGTGCTAGAGCTTTTCAGGGAAATGGTTGCAATCATTTTTTGTTTTTTTAGTACGAGGAAACAACATATTTTCTCCTAATCTTGTTCTCAAACTGCTGAACTGTTTTAGACTAAATTTTGCTGGAAAGTATTCGCTAAGGGAGAGATCGGGCATGAGGAATTTCAGCCTGAAGGGTTAAAGTTTGAAGTTATAAGCAACTGAAAGTAGGGTCTTTATAGTGGAAGATATTCAACACCTTTAACTATAGGTTGTGTTATCAGCTCAGCCTATAGTATGTTTGATACTTAGCTGGGAAGTACATTAGAGAAAATCCTGAAAAAAGAATGAATCTAGCAGAAGCTGCAGTTTTTCTATGCTCCTTCACAAGGTTGCCAGCATAAGTATTATAGTAATATGGTGGTCGTAAGTAAAAGATCAGTTATTGATAATTTGCCTCTGAGCCACCTGCATTCAAATTTTAAACCCTGGTTCATTGTGATAAAAATAGAACATCGGCCATTTTTGTCTTACATTTTCCTCTTTTATTTTGTAGGATCATGGATTTTCCAGGACATTTTGAGCAAATCTTTCAACAGCTAAACTACCAGCGTCTTCATGGTCAACTTTGTGACTGTGTCATTGTGGTGGGGAACAGGCATTTCAAAGCCCATCGCTCCGTTTTGGCAGCATGCAGCACACATTTTCGAGCTCTCTTTACGGTAGCAGAGGGAGACCAGACCATGAACATGATCCAACTGGACAGTGAGGTAGTAACAGCGGAGGCCTTTGCGGCTCTGATTGACATGATGTACACCTCCACGCTCATGCTTGGAGAGAGCAATGTTATGGATGTCTTGCTGGCAGCTTCTCACTTACATTTGAACTCGGTTGTTAAAGCATGTAAACACTACCTTACTACAAGGACGCTGCCAATGTCGCCACCGAGTGATAGAGTTCAAGAACAAAATGCACGCATGCAAAGATCTTTCATGCTTCAGCAGCTTGGACTGAGTATAGTGAGCTCTGCATTAAATTCCACCCAGAGCGCAGAGGAACAACAAAATACTATGAGCTCATCAATGAGAAGTAACATAGAACAACGCACTACTTTTCCGATTCGGCGTCTCCACAAACGGAAACAGTCTTCGGAAGACCGGGCCAGACAGCGCATCAGGCCTACCATAGACGAGTCCATCATTTCAGATGTTGCCCCAGAGAGCGGGCAGTCGGTAGTTCATTCACGGGAAGAATTTTTTTCACCAGATTCACTGAAGATTGTGGACAATTCTAAAGCTGATGTTGTGACTGATAATCAAGAGGATAACACCATTATGTTTGATCAGTCTTTTGGCCCCCAAGAAGATGCCCAAGTGCCCAGTCAGTCCGACAACAGTGGAGGAAACATTTCGCAAATGTCCATGGCATCTCAAGCAACGCAAGTGGAAACTAGCTTTGACCAAGAAGCTACTTCTGAGAAAAACAACTTTCAGTGTGAAAATCCAGAGATCAGTCTAAATGAAAAAGAACATATGAGGGTGGTGGTTAAATCCGAGCCCTTGAGTTCCCCAGAGCCTCAAGATGAAGTGAGTGATGTCACTTCCCAAGCAGAAGGCAGTGAGTCTGTTGAAGTGGAAGGAGGAGTAGTCAGTGCAGAAAAGATAGAACTGAGTCCGGAAAGTAGCGATCGTAGCTTTTCTGACCCCCAATCTAGTACTGATAGGGTTGGTGACATCCATATTTTGGAGGTGTCGAATAACCTGGAACACAAGTCTACTTTCAGTATCTCAAATTTTCTGAATAAGAGCCGAGGTGGCAATTTTGGTGCTAATCAAAATGATGACAACATTCCAAATACAACCAGTGACTGCAGAATGGATGGAGACGCCTCTTATTTAATGAGTCCAGAGTCTGGGCCTACTAATGGCCATTCCTCTGCTACCGTCTCTCATGTGGAGAATCCATTCAATGAACCTGCAGACTCTCACTTTATTAGACCTATGCAGGATGTAATGGGTCTTCCATGTGTACAGACTTCTGGATACCGGGCAGCAGAACAGTTTGGGATGGACTTTCCAAGGTCTGGCTTGGGACTACACTCTTTATCAAGGGCAATGATGGGCTCTCCAAGAGGTGGAGCTAGTAACTTTCCCGGCTACCGTCGCATAGCCCCCAAAATGCCTGTTGTGACCTCTGTTAGGAGCTCCCAAATGCAAGATAGTACATCTAATTCCCAGTTGATCATGAATGGGACCAGTTCCTCTTTCGAAAATGGGCATCCTTCCCAGCCTGGTCCGCCACAGTTGACCAGGGCATCTGCTGATGTTCTTTCAAAATGTAAGAAGGCCTTATCTGAGCACAATGTCTTGGTTGTAGAAGGTGCTCGCAAATATGCCTGTAAAATCTGCTGCAAGACTTTCTTGACCTTAACAGACTGTAAGAAGCACATCCGCGTGCACACAGGAGAAAAGCCTTATGCCTGTTTAAAGTGTGGCAAACGGTTCAGCCAGTCCAGCCATTTGTATAAACATTCCAAAACAACCTGCCTGCGGTGGCAGAGCAGCAACCTACCCAGCACTTTGCTTTAATCTCCCCCCCCCCAAGCCCATACAAATCATGCCAATACAAATTGTAAGACCACAAACTGAACTGTGTCTGGAATATTAACACTATTTTGTTCAAGACTGCAGGTTAAGAAGCTGCCCTTGTAGTAAACACTTAAATGTGATCGTGTCCCCCCCCAAACCTCCCCCCCCCCCCCAAAAAAAATAATGTCTTGGTCCTGTAAAATGGGGATAATACCATACCTACCTCACAGGGGTGTTGTGAGGCTTAAACAACTGTTTGGAAGCGCTTTGAGATGCTCTGAAGGAGGCACTATAGAAGTATTAAGTATTATTATTATTGTGTAAATGCAGGTCTTGGGCTCATGGGGATGCAATCCCTAAAACCAAGTAGTTCCTTTGCTGGGGGGGGGGGGGGAGGGTGGGAGGGAAGAAATAGGAGGGGGATGGGTGAAAATGTAGCCAGCTCCTAATTATGTTAAAGTAGCACGTTTCAAAGATGAGAAACTGAAGTGCAAATTTTTTTAGGAATTTTGTAAAATTGTGAAAGTGTTTAAATAAATAACTTGTAAAATAAGTTGATACATTATGTGTATGAACAAAAATGCAAAGAGCTCTTTACTGTTACTAATGCAGATTGCATATCCTTAAAGAAAACCAATCTTAGATACACCCGTCTACCACAAAATGCTTTAAAATGTTAATTATGAAAATAGTTGTAGGGGTTCTGAATGTATTTTTGGCTGTTTTCCTGTAATGGACACTGTTATGAAGGTGCTTACCTTGAGTCCAAGACAAGTAGCGTTTGGACTGTTAGATGTGTATATATAGTTTGAATACAGCAAGATCTCCTAGGTGTTTCACCATTTTTTTTCCTGTAAAAACTTGTAATGAGTGATAAGTGACGTACTGTTTCTGTATGTGCTATTCTTAGCAGTATTTTAACCAACTTGTATTTCATATGTTAAAATTCCATATACATAGATGTCTGAAAAGAGCTCGTTATTGTCTACTTTATTTTAAATGGGAGATATGATTTGTGGTGGCTTCTTTTATTGTGTAAGAGAGTCTCTTACCCTTTCCAGATGCTGACCGTCAATCTGATCCAAGTTATTGTATAAGCAGACTATCCTTTTCTGATGCTCTTATCTTCAGGCTTTTTAATTTCCTTCTCCATATACTTATTGTCCTCCCAACCCTGGATTACTTTGATCTGAGGAACAGTCAGGAATGAGAGCCTGTCTTGCCATATTCATATGCCTCTCTGTATAAATGTACCGGTTGACTCTAATTCTTCAATTTAGAGAAGTATCATAAATGTACTTTCCCACAAGTAAAAATCCAACACAAATTTAATTTAAAAAATAGCACTGTACACCTTGTAAAACAAGTTCAGTAATCTCTGTTTCCCGTGAATCTCACAGATCTTATTTTAATTTCCTCTTCTTTGATACCATTGTAACTAATACTCTTTGCAGTTGTGGGGGTTTTTTTTTTAAGATGCACATGAACTAACTCCTGGAGTTCAACAAACTGGGTTTCTATTAACATTTTGGAGCACTTCTACTGACCAGTGTTACTCTGTTTATGCAGAATCTCGGTTAGTGCTTCGGCACATCTGTCGTCTCCAAAGGAAACAGATCATGAGCATCTAACATAGCTAATCTGCAGCAGCAGCAGTGGGGGCTATTTTTAATATTAAAAAAAGCATTTGCAAACTTCCTCATTTTTAATCTGTTATGTAGCAAACTCATTCTGTGGGGTGTTACTGTCTGACTTTGATTAAACCTTTGCTATTTTTTAATAGGGCTGTTGGCCTCCTGAAAAAGCTTGGATTTATTTGAATGGAAGCTGAAAATTAAATCCTTATTCCTCAGTTCTGTAGCTAGTTCAGTCTTGAGTGACTGAGACAGTTGAAACATTGGAACTAAACAATCATGGTCAGTACCACAGAAACACGGGGCTATGTATGAAACTATATCTGGCTGAGAGAGAAATAAAATGTACTCTTCTCTCCCGCTTTGTGGTGAGAAAACTGCCTTAGGGCTGTTAATATTTGATTTGCAATTTAAGCTTCTAGGGTAAGCAGGCACTTGGAACTGTTATGACATGATTCAATTTTTTTAAAACCTCACAGTCCCATGACTGGTTTTTAATGGTTACACTTCTGGCTTTTGTTTTTTTAAGGCACCAAGGATATGTGCCAAGTTCATGAATAGCATTAGAAAATGCGGCATTTTATGTGGTAATCATGTTGATGTCAAGGGACTAACAGCATTGACCTACGTCAGTCTCACTGCATCTCCATTAAAACTAGATCATCACTACAGTGCAGTGTTTTCTAATTTAATTTTATGTTGTGTTGCCTTATTGCTAATATCTTGCCTAACTTTTTAATATCTTGCCTTTTTCCAGTTTTGTTCCAAAAACTATTTTTTTCTATTTTCCAGCTGTTTTCTTTATCTAGCATCTGTGTTTAAAACCCTCCCACTCACAGGAAGAAAGCAGAGATGGGGGTGGGGCAATCAATGCACTTAATTTTAAGAATGAATATGAACATGTAAATGAAACCTATATTTAACTGTACTTCTGGATCAGTTTTTATAATAAAATGTTTGTGGTTATGTGCAAGGCCAGAGGTGGCAAGGGAGGGCTGCTCTCTTCAGAAACAACAAAGAAAATAAATATAATAAACATTGGGAATCTTTTAGATGTAACACACTTAATTTTCAGTATATCAAATTACAGTGTTTCTAGAAGGACATATTACAGCTTCAGTAACCCCTGTCTGACTGCTGTTGCTTTCTTGGTCTTCCTATGTGAAGCAATATCTCAGAATAAACACTCAGTACTCAACTGACCCATCTTGTACAATGAGCAATATCTAATCTCTAAACCTGACTATAATTACAAAACTAGCCTCACCCCACTTCTGTTCAGACTTAATAGCCGAGCACTATAGTGCGATTTCACGTGAAGCTATCAGTATGTTTAGAGTGTTATGAGATACATCTGAAAATAAACACTACATTTTTGTGCTGATGTGTCTGATTTTGATTTCCTTATTTCCTTAATCCTGACTGGAACACTGATAGGTTGCAGTGGGTCTACAGGTGCGTGTGTTGGTCTTGGTGGAGTTGAAGGAGTTGGTTATGACCTACAAAGCCCTAAATAACCTGGGACTGGCTTACCTGAGGGCTCCTCTCTCCCTGTACCATACTGCCACAGCTGCCGTTTCCAGGAATGCCTGACCTTGAATGCTCTTGTAATAAAGCAGAGAGAGTGGCTGGCAGGGCATTCGGTGTGTGGGCTTGAGGGCTCTGAACTGTCCAGATTTGGTGACCATCCAGGTATGCTGCAAAACATATCTATTTGGGTATTTTTGGAGAAGGGTGAAGGTATGATTCCTAGAAAATGAAAAAAGAAGAACAGGAGTACTTGTGGCACCTTAGAGACTAACAAATTTGTTAGTCTCTAAGGTGCCACAAGTACTCCTGTTCTTTTTGCGGATACAGACTAACACGGCTGCTACTCTGAAACCTAGAAAATGAAGTGTCAAAGGAGGCTGCCTGAGTTCCTATTGAATTATTTTGATTGTATTGCTAATGCTATGCTAGGGTACTGAGCTCCTTGCATAGGTGTCTCTTGATTATTTTGATTTAAATAATCAACAAATACAATCCTGTAACATTACGAACAAGACCTTATTTGTCTTGAAAAACAATACCCCTTGTGGCCAACTCCCTCTCTTAGGCAGAATGCTATATGGAAGTAAAGAGCTGGAAGGATCTGGTGAGGAGCCTATAGGGGAAAGAAAAAGATTCTGAATCAGTTGTGACATTCCTCAGGCTGCAACCTGAATTACTGGTCTGTTATGTCCCCTTAGCTCTCCAGCCTGGATCGTCTTTTACACTGCCTTACTGTCAGCATCACAACCTTTCCAGGCTCTGTTTACCCCCAGCATGTAAAGTCATTCCTAGTTGAACACAAGTGCTATACCCAGCCATGGATGAACAGATAGAAGGTGACCCCAGCATATCCTGCAATCCCAGCCTTGTCTCTCTTCCCACCCTCCCCTCAAAAAAAGTGCCCTGTTCAGTGGCCCACTGGAATGTACTGACTCATAATTAGTTTGTCATTCCAACAGTGGATAATGAATATACACCACCCTTGTCTCAAGGGCGGGTTTCCCAAACACACTGGTTTAGATAAAACAGTAAACCCCATTTAACTAGAGAAAGATAGATTTTAAGTGATTTACAGGTGCTAAGGCAAAAGTCAGATTTAATTACAAAAGAGAGAGAGAAAACCACACTCTAATTTCTAGATTTTACCTAGGCTAACTCTAAAAACATCAGTTGTCTCACCATTAGATGCAATATATGTCACAAGCTGTTGCTTTTTCCAGCCTGGAACCACTCCCCTTAGTTCAGTGTTCTTCAGATATTTAGTGATGTCATAGCCTCTGGCCACCTCACCTTTCTTATACTCTAACCCTCTGTACTGGAAAAGTCTTTGCTGGGTCATGGGGTCAGCTGTTCTGGAGAATTGTAAATCATTTGTTTATAACTCCCCTGCTGGTGAATCTCCGATTAAGCAGGTAATGGGCTTTTAGCACCTAGCTAGTGTGCCTTTTTGTCTTTGAAAAAATGGTCTGAGGGCATTACCAGAATGACAGCATATTTCAGTAACAAGCACCTAGTAAAATCTCAGCTCCATGTACAATGTTGATAGATTACCAAGACAATGTTGGGCTGTAGATTGAGTTTTCAAATGATACTTCAAACAAAATATGCCCATACAAAAGTGGTGAACATGGGCTGCAGGGTGTCACATGGGATATAGTATATCCCACCAATTTAAAAAGTCCCTTAGTGAAAGCTGTATGTGAGTTTTACACCTATGTAAAACAAATTTGCTTTCTTAAGGATCTGATGTTACTTAAATAGTTTTTTAAACTTGCTCTCCTCTGTCATGGAAAAAGGTCTTGGAAATATTGATGCTAGGTTGGTTACTGGAAAAGTTTGACAAGTTAGAACACATTGGTTGAGTTCTCTGTCAAACAGGATTAAACATACATAACACCACTGTTCGTCCCTTGGTTTATCTGCCTGTAGCTTCTCTACAGTGATACTAAGAGAAAGTCTTACATTTAGATCTAGCTGCCAGTGTCAATTGCTTATAATGCAAACTTGGCTTAAGGGCAACAAAAACAAGCCATTGGTGCCTCTGTGCACTCCGCACCAGCGTTCTGGTGCAGGTGATGGGGGTTTAAACATCATGAAATCCTTGGACATTTAATGGCAATGGTAGTTTAACTCCCACTTCTTATTTGATCAGCTGCCCCTGGGGTGACCAGATACCTATGATCTAATTAAGCCAGTGAGATTTGCCAACTGCTGAGTATGTTTCAACCAGGAGCTGAGGCTAGCAGAGCATAAAAATATCAGATTCACTTAGAGTTAATACTCTACTCCATGGCTCTACTTATCCCACACCACTGGTTCCTTGCTACGTGGCAATTTTAAGTGTGCTTATAGCTTACTGTTTGAGGTTCCAAACCCTTTCCGATGGACTCAATTTCTAAGACTTTGTTGCCTAGCAAACAGGAGCAAGAGATGGAGGGACTATCTCATGTCCTCTTCCATTTTCAGGGGGAGAGAAAGCCCCTGCCACAAAAGGCTGCAAAAAGAGCAGGAAGACAAAGAGCTCAAGACAGGACCGTGTAGCTTCTCATTCCTGGGAAGGACAATTTTCTGAATCTGAGCTAAAGCCCCCAGAGGAGGAACCTCAAAGCAAGTTGTTTCAAGAGGAGTTTTGTTTCTATCCTGGCAAGTAGTGTCAGGCACTGAACCCCCACTGGAAGAACCTCAAAAGGAGGAGGCATCAAAAGATAAGAACTTACACAGAATAGATCTAGACAGAAAGGGAGTGAAACCTCTCAAATACTTCCTCTCAGTTCAACATCTCAAACCTATCTCCTCTCCATGCAACACTGGTAGATGTAATTAGGGCTGAATGCAAAACCCAGCAAGAGCTCAGAGGCTGGCCAAGATGCAGTATCCCGTTCATAGATCCAATCCAGACCTAGTTACTCTACCAAATGTGGATGCAGCCCTTTCATCCCTTGTAAAGACAGGATAATCCCAGTTAAGGGTGATTTCTTCCCCAAGGACCAGAGAGAGAGGAAGACAGATTGCTTAAGGAGGAATTCTGAAGCTTCCTCTGCCACCCTCTGAGTATCCACAGCCTCCGCCTCTTCTACTTGAGCCATCTTGGCATGGACTGATTCCCTTTCAAAAATCAGAAAATATTTCTGTGTGGGAGCCATTCTGAGAGAGCTTGCGTAGCAGCAGCCTCTGTAGCAGGCACCTTCTGTGACAGCCTCAGATTCACTGCGAGGGCAATGGGATGTGACCCTGCCTCGTCATCACTTATGGCTAAGGTCATGGAAAAGGCTGATGCTCATGGCAGACAGACGCTGGCTGTGAAAGATTGTTGCCCCCGCTGTGACTTTTGGTATAAGCGAG